CATACCAATGGTGCAACCTGTGACTGAGGAAAGCGGCGAGGCGTAGCATTTGCTTCCTTGAAGCTAGGACGAGTGTCCCTTGTTGACACGAAAACGCGCCTTGGTATTCGCTTAGAAAGTACATACCGAGCGAAACAAGTGGTCTGCTCTTGGGCGATACCAGCGGAGCGATAACGGCGTCGCGACGACAATTATGTACAACAGTTCGCCGAGAAAGGTACGTGCAGGAAGCCAACTGTCTGGCAACGCTTGCACGCAGTGCATCACAACGTTTTGCATTTCAAGCATTAAAAAGCATTATCAAAGCGGCGTCTCGCGTTGCCACGTCATGCAGGCGAATCGCAAAGTTACTCCGGGATCTGCACCTTGAGCCGCTTGGTGCAGCCCGCCGACTCGTCGTCGAGGTGGAGCTCTACACAATTATAATGATGAGGATACGTTTGGGCTACCATCATTTGTGTCTACTTCGAGCGGACGGCGGGAGACGAGGAAGGTCCGTTCGCTTTGGCCCGCCAATCTACTCTTGAATTGAGTTTTTCCACTCAAATTCGTGCATTGAGACCTTGGACGCAGGCGAAAATGGGACTTTGAGAGAAAATTGAGCAATGTGGTTTCGGAATGCCTCCTAATTTCCGACAACAAGTTCTTGCTCACGTCATTTAAACGAGTAGGGTACCGAGATGGCTTGCTCGATCGCCTTGTCACTCGTCCGGCTGTACACGCGCAAAATGCGCTCTTCAAACTACAATCGATATTCTAGCTCCAGATCGCCATTTTTGATAAATAGTGTCGTACCTTTTCCGGGAAGAGAAGGCTCACTTCTTGCTTGGGCGTGTGAAACTTCTCTACGAATCGTGTCCATACCAAAATGTTAATACACCCATCAACACACATACCGTTGTAATTGGAAGACGTGTAAAATGACACCATGTCCACGGGGTTCTTGTCCTAAAACCGCTTTGAGTATTCGTCGCGGGTAGGGTAGGGCTAGGGTAGCGCCATTTCGAGATGGATACGGTACCTTGAGGTTGTAGTTGAGCTTGCCGTCGTAGACAATAATGTCATCGACGTTCAAGTCGATGCCCGACGCGTTGCCAGCACACGCAATATCGGCCGGTCGCACCTGATTTCAAACCAATAATTTGAGTTGCAAGCGATAGGCAAATTTGAAAACTGACCTTGGGAATCGCGTTTGTGAGCGTCGATGGCACGAGGTACTCGTCGACAAACTCGTAGAGCTCGCGGCGACGGATGCGGCGGACAATGTCGCGCGCCGCCTGGAGCGCCGGGTCCTTGGAGCACTCAATCTAATGACGCGCGAGCGTCACATCTCACAAACGAATCAAATGAGCGTCCTACCATCTTGACGATGTGGTCGGTCATGTACTGAAAGTCTTCGGGTGACTCGGTCGACGCTGAAATACCCAGCGTCTTGTCTATAAAAAAGGATCAAAACGTGAATTTTGCGTTTTGCATGGACACATTTTGTCCAATATATACATAGGAATACAAGACGTACCGGCCAAGACCATGGCGTCGCACATCATGTACTCGACGGCCTTGCCCTTGCGGTGTCCATAAATCTACACCATTTTAAAGTTGAGATTGACGTTGAGATCCACGTCCAAAGTTTGAGACCTGCTTGTGCATGTAGTATCTTTGGTCAAACAGCTCGTAAATGTCCGACGTGACCGACGCATGGTAGCAAATTTCGTTGTCAATCACGCGGTTGTAGTGCCAGAGACGGCTGTAGTTGTAGCCCTTCTTGCCGCCAAAGAGGTTTTGCATGTCTACGCAAAATTCAAAAAAATAAAAATAAAAAAGCCCACGAGGATCGAAGCGGGGCCTACCGCGGGCGAGGTAGTCAAACTTGTCGACGTCAATGCAGTTGCGGCCGTTGGCCACAATCTCGTACAAGTAGCCGCGGTCATCGAGGCGCTTGGTGTTGCCGTGCACGCTACGCCAGCCGCATGTGAGCATCAGCATTTTCCATGTTGAGCGACGGACGCCTTGGCGCCGTTGATGAGCTCTTGGACAAAGCGCATGTCATTGCGCTCCATGTCAATATGGTTGTCGTCGATGAGGAACTCAAACATGCGCAGTGACATGGCCTCGTGCGTGTAGTCGGAGCCCGGGCGTACGGCTGGCATAAACTCGGCGTCAAAGACGTGCGAGAAGGGTCCATGGCCCAGGTCGTGGGCGAGGCCGGCCACGCTCTACATCGCGCACATATCAGTATGTTAGCGGGCATCCGTTGTTCGTACGAGCAGATCAATGTCCCGCGCCGAGAGGTCGAGCTCGGGCTGCGTCGACTGGAAGCGGGCGACAGTCTCGCCGGCGAGGTGCGCCACGCCGAGCGAGTGCTCGAACCGATTGTGGCTCGCACCGGGAAAGACATAGTAGAGCGTGCCTAGCGCAAGGCTACAGGCGGCGATCGAGAAGGCGGCGTACCGAGCTGCTTCAAGTCGCGAAGCCGCTGGAACTGCGGCGTGTCGATGATCGAGACGCACGTCGGGCTCATGCGGATGTAGCCGTGAACCTGGTCTAAGGTGCCATGGGGTGATGAGCGCAGCGCCTCCGATGAGGTAGACGTACCGTTGAAGAGCTTGGCGTCGCGCATGCTGCTCTTGCGTCCGCGCTGGCGACGTTGAAGTGTCCCAGGCCGTCACTGGCAACCGCTCCATGGGGGTGGTACCGGTCCATTCGCACAAAAGCAGGGTCCATAAAACCTCTTTGTTTCGATAAAGAGGTCCTTCGAAACCAGTAGGGGGACTTACTTTTTGGGTTTAAAACCTCTAGCAATGCATTTTTGGAGCCCTACGTGGCAGCCTCCTGCCATGGCTTGCCACATCGCATCTTCGCCGGACGACGCAACAGGTATTCACGTGCCAGAGACCATTACTATACAAGAGCTACGGAGACAACTAGACGAAGGGGTTCAGAACAACTATTTATGAGGTCACAAAATAGCGAGGCGAGATGCGCTGAATGCAAACTCGACGAGTTAGCACGATCGGCCGACAAAAAATAGCGACAAAAGTTGATATATATATATGAACGTGTTCCGCGTTATCTCCATAATTACACAAAGACTTTGCATACGTAGCGCAACGCCTGAAGGCGTGGGAGTCGGCACGAGCTCTTGGTCGTTGGGAGTGAGCTGCGTACGGAGAGATCCATCCCGTGGTGGACCCCACTCGCCGAGTCAGAGCTCGCGCGAGGTCGTACGCAGGCTCCTGTACTCGGACCACCGACAGAGGAGTGCAAGCCGTCGGGACAAAAGTTGATGCAAACATAATTCGTGTTAGCGGAGATAGAAAAAGGGCACTAGGCCGACGGAAGGCGCGCTTATAGCACAATGTAGCTGCCGTCGTTGTCCTTTGGCTGGCGCCCCATGTGAATCGGCACCGACGTGTCTTGGGACGACTCGGTCCGCATGTAGCGCAGGTTCCCGCCCTATGATCGATAGACATTTATACAATTTGAAAATCCCACACGTCATCCTACCACAGGCTCGAGCATTGGCGTGCTCACTTCGAGGTTCGTGCCGCGGAGCTGGCTGCCGTTCTGGGACCGAATCCGACCTGGCGTGTGGCTACCGGTGCGCGACCGCTCCATCATCTATGCAATATTGTCATATGATGTTCACCATAGCATCGACAATAGTGTACACTGCGGTTCTCAAGGCCGCGCGCCAGACGCTCCAAAGCGGCAAACGTCGTCGATGCGTCGCCACCCATGGACGCCCGGGAGCCAAACCGGATGAAGCGATCGGGCTTTTGCGACTCCTTGGTCTTGGCGAGCTCTCCAAACACCGAGTTGGGCTTGAAGAGCAGCTACACGAATGAACCCTAAACCCTTGTCCAGACTAGAACCACGCAACGTTACCTCGTTGTACGTGCCCTGCTCGACAATCTCGCCGTTCTGCATGACAAAGATCGCGTCCGCGTTCTGCGTCGTCGCAATGCGATGCGTGACCGAGATAATCTAGACCAAACGACATGGATAAATCCTCTATAACTCCAAACGCAGAAATGAAATGTGTACCGTCATGTGCAGTGAGCGCACGAGCTTCTCGAGCGTCTGCACAATGCTGGCTTCGGTCTCCGGGTCCAGTGCACTCGTGGCTTCGTCGAGCAAGAGCAGACTACAAGTAGCAGTGTATCAGTGTATCAACCAAAAAGATCGAAAAATATATACCTCGGCTGCCGCACGAGTGCGCGGGCCAGACAAATGCGCTGGATCTGGCCGCCACTGAGGTTGACGACCGCGTGCTGCCCAATGATCGTGTCGTAGCCGTCCTTGAGACCGTCCACAAAGACGTGGCACTCGGCCAGCTTGGCGGCTTCCAAGCACATTTCACGGGTCGCGCCGTCCCGACCATACCTACCCACATGCATCGTAAAGGCCATGTAACAGTAGAGAGAGGAAGAGCGTACGCAATGTTGTCGAGGATCGAGCCGTTGAGAACACCGCCGTCTTGAAACACGACCGCGGTCTGGTCGGCGAGACTCGCCTTTGAGTAGTGTTGCGTGTCGTACGAGTCGAGGCGCAGCGTGCCGGCCGAGATCGGGTAAAACTGCATGAGGCAGCCGAGGAGCGTGCTCTTGCCGCAGCCACTCGGACCCACAATGCACGCGTACTCGCCCTAGTCCATTTTATATATAATTATGAAACAAATGTTTGTTGGGGAATACCTTTTTGAAGAGCGCGCTCACGTCCTTGAGGATCCAGTGCGGACTCTCGGCGTCGTACTTGAACGAGACATGGTCGACCGTGAGCGCGTGCTGCATCTTGGGCAGCTCTGGCAGCGTCATGTCCGACTGCTGGAGCTGCTTGGCCGTCTTGTCCGCCTAATTGTTTTTCAATATTTGTTAGTCTCGAGGGGTAGGGATAAAGGTATATATATATACCTGGACCAGAATCTCGTCGAGGCGCTGGAGACTCGACGCGTTGCCGATCGCGACGCGCATAAAGCCGCCGAGCACCGTCACCGGCGTCGAGATGCGGTTGAGCAGCGTCAGACAGGCGAAAAACTCACCCGACGTGATATCCCCGCGGTACGTCTACCAGAATCCATTTGACAATCTGTCCACAAGACGACTAGGGAGACCTTGATGCCGAGGCAGATGGTCATGACCATCACAAACACAAACATGGCCGACTCAATGTAGATCTGGACGATGCCGCTCCAGAAGTCCTTGGCAAACTGCGCACTCCGGAGTGTCCCAAAGCTCGCACCAAACTTGGCCAGAATCGGCGCCTGGATCTCGTACGCGTGGACCACCTAGACTCCCGTTGTCAGACATCTGGTAAAAACAGATACGCGACCTTGTTGCACGCGATCGCATTCTGCACATCGGCCGCGACGTGGGCGTTCTGCGACCCAAAGTACTGCGATCGCTTGCCTACATTCAGATTCAGATTCACATTTCGACATGCATACAACAACGCACCGGCGCGGCCTTGCGGGCCCGACGTCACAATGATGATCGCAAATGCAAACGCCAAGCTGCCAATGATCGGCTCGAGCGTCATCAAGTAGATAAACCCGACCGAGATCGACACGACAGGATTCAGAAAGTTCTACGCACCGTCCGCCTTGATACATTGATACACACAAAACGAGCAGTACCCAAAACACGGCTTGCCACATGGCGTTGACGCGCGCAATGTCGGCTTGGAAGAGGTTGTTGAGGTCGCCTTCGGACCGGTCGTGGAAGAAACTCGACGGCTGCTGCAAAATGACACGCAGCAGTGACGTTTGGAGGTGCTTGGTCGCGCGCGAAATGAGTTTGGACTGGAAAAAACCTAGTCCAACTATCGATAAATAAATCGACTAAAATCGACTAAAATCAAAGATATACCCATGGCGTAGTCGGCAGCGATAAACGGGACGCAGATCGCCATGAGGCCAATGACGCCCATCACGAGCGCGTCCTTGTCGTAGAAATCGAGAATCACTTCCTTCCCGTTGTCGTCGGACGTAATATTTTTCGAGTACGTCGTGATGTACAGCGACTGAAACCCCGAATCGTACATAAAGTCGATCTGATCTTGAGTCATGCGCTTGACAACGTAGGAGGGAAAAGCGCGGTCCGTAATGTACTGAAGCAAGTACGCGAGCAGCGGTACAATCGACGCGGCCACCCCCACGACAAACATCGTGCACACCAGAAACAGCTTTTGGTTGCCCCTACCGCAGAGCTATGAGACATGCCATCGAAAAAGATTCGAGTCTAAAATGATAATTTTGGAAAATAGAATATACCAGTGACGCAGCGTCGAGGCCATGACGTGGCGCATGCCGTACGTGGTCGTTTGGTGGTCGACCATCTGCACTTGTTGAAAGTGCTCGAGGAAGGCGGTGGTTGTCATGCGCGACGGTCGGTGCTTGTACGCGCGCTCAATGAAGACCATAAAGGCCTCGGGCAGCATCCAGCCGTCTTCGGCACCGCAGACCTTGCGCAGCTCCATCTCCATGCTCTCGACCGCCGCCTACATCCGTGTCAAAACCAAAGCAACCGTATGCGACGACTGTACGGCAGTGATTTGCGGCAAGAGGCGAATCGACGCGCGGAGCGACTGAATGAGGATCCGGTCCGGCTTGGGCGACCGGTGCAGCGTCTTGGAGTACGTGCGCGCCTGTGGCTTGAGCAGAATGCGAAGCGTCACGAGCATACAGTAGCCGACTGCGATGTAGCTTTCGATCTGGTCGAGCTTGTACTTGGTCTTGACCTTCCAATGGTTGGTGAAGCCGTCCTTGAGGATCTTGGCGGTTGCCAAGTTGTCGGCAAAGATGTACCGCGCGCCAAGACAGCCGCAGAGGCAGAGGTAGACGGCGAGGTCAGCCATGTTGGCGAACGACTTGCAAAGCCCGCCTTGGAGGCCAAATAGGCGCAGCACGAGGTCGACCAGCTGCAGCCCGAGGCAGGCCGTCGACGCGAGCCGGAGGTACAGGCCAATGTCGGCGTACGTTTCGGTGGTCGTGGCCGCGACCGCGAGGCAGTTGGCGGTAAAGTCGAGGACGAGGACAGTCAGGAGCGTGTAGTGCCACGACCGCTTGTCGGCGAGCGCGAGGCAGCGCAGGTGCAGCGGCTTGGTCGTCGTGGCCGGCATGGGGCAAACTCAGTTCTGCTATATTCCAACCATGTCTCTGGCTTGGTCGGATTTTTCAAAAGCAGGTGGTAAATCCAACATTTCCCACATACAGCACACCGTCCATGCGCTCGTCGACGCGGCTGCAACGCCTCCACTAATCACTAGTCGGTGGAGAGTCTATAGCACTATAGAAGGACTTGCGCCGACGAGCCGCGACCTCGGACCATGTAAGTTGTCTTTGGCGGAAGAAATGATGAATACACTCCGCCGGATCGTGCCCCACTATGTGTTTTATGTGTGTTATGTGTTTTATGTGTGTTTTGCGCGGGTCGTTGGCAAGCGTCGCACTGCGACCAAGTAGGATATCGGACGCGTAGAAGCGTAGTTAGCGCTAGCTCGTAATACGATATATAGAGACGACGACACCGTCGGAGAGAGAGAGGATGGACCAAGTACATGGTCCATCATGCACCATCGGGTCCCTGATCGGGTCCTCCCTGCGCCATTTGCTTCGTGTGAGAAATGGCGCCTGGACGTGGGAAACAGTGCCGCCTTTCTGTTGGCACCAATCACATCTTATGTCCACGTCCACTGGCTCCCTTCGACGTGCGTTTGGTGAATTGGTTCATCCAACGTTCTCGGGTTGAATCAAATTTGCAAAAACGAACTTGAAGCATAAGTAGCGCTGCGCCTGAATCCGTGCGAGTGGGCACCAGCACTGGGTTCTGTGGCGGACCCCAGTCGCTGGGGTTTCATTGACGTGGTACTTTCCGGCGCAGCAAGGAAGTTGAGTTTTTGCCGTCCGGATGGACGCAAAGGGTCGATTGTTGGCGAGATCGTCATTTTGCATTTATCGAACGGCTAAATGCAAAATGACTATCTCGCCTATCGACTCTTCGCGTCCATCCGGAGGGCAAAAACTCATGTAGCCGCGCTGGGGCCGACTACGACGGGCGCCACCACTGAGATCGTCATGTTGTGCATCGTGCATGGTATAACATTATAGTATAACATCGAACTAAATACTGCGGTACGAGCAGACACGACCCAGCGCTTCAACACCAGCGGCAACTTTGCCGAACACAAGATGCAGCAGCTCGCTTCGAACGCTTCAGAAACGACCGTCAGCCCAACGAATCCAAGTATCGAGTCACAGCCGTGCTCGCAAAAGCTAACAACAGCATCGATAGCTACAGTGTTCTTTCTAATAACGCTGAACTTGTTCAAACGCACAGAGTTCCGTCGCATGGTTGTTTCCGACCAACATGTAATAGCCAATACTGCGTTTGGTCGGGCTTTGCTGGCTCTGGTCCCCACTTCGATCCTTCCTGCGTCAGCCTCTTTGTCGCCTTGTACGACGCTCGAGTGGGGCAAGAGGCGACGCGATTGACCGCTAGCCATCAGCAGTGGTGTTGGCGGGTTAGGATCGACAAGGCTAAAATCCAAACCGGTTGGACTGGAGCCGAACGGTTGGAATGGTCGTGCGCCGAAGACGTCACTGGTCGTGCGGTCTGAGGGCACTTGACTAAAGTCTAGTCATAACACCTCACGCGCATCAGCGCAGCCCGAGTCGGCGTAGACGCGCCAGTATCCATGTCGAGTTTGCCCTTTGACACGGCTCGTATCCGGGGGACCGCCTGTCTTTCACGTAAAGGGGTCGTGCCACGGCCCCTTTGCGTCGAGATTGCCGTTTGCGTATCCGGATGACCATGCGTCACAGCGATCTCGCAACTGGCTCTTGCCGATCATTTTGCGACTCCGCCGCCATGCCGACGCCAGTCGTCGCCTCGTTTGTCGAGCTTGCCTCGGGTACGAGCTACCGCTGCGACTGCCTGCCATCACGGTGCATGTGACTAGATCCATCGTCGGGCCATGCGCTGCCAGAAGACCAGCGCCGGTATTTGCGCCTCGTCGACGCCCGCGGCTGGCACTACTCGATCGTGTGCATCCTCGTGCTCGACTTTGTCGCCAACTGCCTTGGCGTTGCAGCCACGTCGACCGAAACATACGCGGACGGAAGTCTGTACTTGCGACTCGCGTCGTCGGCCTGTCTGCTCGTGCAGGCCGTCGACCTCGCGCTGCGGACCATGGGCCTGCGACGCAAGCTCGTCGCATCGCGAGCGAACCTCGTCGATGCAATCGCGTTTCTGCTGCTCTGCGCCTGTCTCGCCTGCCGGTAGCCATCTATCTGCGATGGTATTGTCATGGTAGATGCGTAGATTCGTCTTTGCCGACAAGATCCAAGGCGCTGCGATCACAACGGACGGCTACGTCGACAAGTGGCACATCTTTAAAAAATACAAGCTGCAGCTGTACGAAGCCGACATCGCGCTCGCGTACTGCTTCCTCGTTGTCTTGCGCATCCTTGTCAAGCCACCGGCGCGAACGTACTCGAAGAAGCTGCATCGCTCGGCCAAGCCGGACCGCGTCTCGATCGCGTCGCTGCGGGGTTCGATCCGCCAGCTACCATCCATTTCCGCGGTATCTTTTGGATACTGTTGTCAGCGTATCGATCTATCGAGATTAGGCGTCGGTCGAGAAGATGGAGACGGAGCTGCGCATTCTATGTGGCGCCGACGACGGCTACATGCTCCCCGAAGCCTTCATGACCTTTGTGGAGCGGGCGTATGCGTTCCGGCCCAACAAGATGACGGCCAGTGCGTTCTTGTCGCATTTTCAGCAAGTCCAGCTCGCCGATCATGCAGCGTACGGCATCCGCGAGGTCATGGCGTCCACGCTCAAGCACTGGTACGTGCTTCGATCCCGCGAAAATTTGTTTTTTAAATGCAGTGTTTTCGGGTGGTGTAGGAGCAACCAGCGCTGGTTCCTGCTCGCGACGATGCTTGTCGTGTGCGTCTCGGCGGCGATTGTGCCACTGCTCTCGTTCTACCTCAAGCTACTGACGGACGAAGCATTCCCGTCGTACGTCAACAAGACCATCGTGCCCGACTGGGACTATAGCACGGGGATGCTCACGGGCACGCAAAAGCTTGGCGTGTCGCGCAAATTCAAAAATTTGACGCGCGGCGCCAACAACGAAGAAGTCGATCTCAAGTTTATCGCGTACGATTCATTTCTGACGGGTATCATTGGTATTTTGGCGATCTGCGTCCCCTTTATCGCTGCCGACTATGCCATGGGTATATCTTTGATTTTAGTCGATTTTAGTCGATTTATTTATCGATTGTTGTACTAGGTTTTTTCCAGTCCAAACTCATTTCGCGCGCGACCAAGCACCTCCAAACGTCATTGCTGCGCGTCATTTTGCAGCAGCCATCGAGTTTCTTCCACGACCGGTCCGAAGGCGACCTCAACAACCTCTTCCAAGCTGACATTGCGCGCGTCAACGCCATGTGGCAAGCCGTGTTTTGGGTACTGCTCGTTTTGTGTGTATCAATGTATCAAGGCGGACGGTGCGTAGAACTTTCTGAATCCTGTCGTGTCGATCTCGGTCGGGTTTATCTACTTGATGACGCTCGA